GCTTCTTGGGAAACTCATGGGGTTTTCAAAAGAATTATTCGGGGCGTCTGATCCCAACCTTCACAAAACACTCCGCTTGTCACCTTCATCATGCGGGTCTTCTTCCAGGCTCGGCGCCACCAGCCGTAAGGCCTTGAATACGACTAGTTTGCAATGTTTGCCAGCGCGGACCCAAGGCAGCACGCTTCTAACATTATACAGTGTGCAATAGTTGTGGGGGAATGCATGGCGCACTATATTTATATAGTTTAATTATATCAATGTGTGTGCGTGATGCAATACAATGTATGCAATCTGCTGCGCAGTCTACGCCATGCAATGTATGTATATACGCAACAATGATGCAAACTACGTGGTGCCATCTATGCGATTCAGGTCTAGGTGGTGCGCAACGCATGTGGTGCAACCGGCGCGGTGCAATCTGAACGGTGCAGTATCGATTGCCCGCTCTATGTTGGAGAATATTTCTCTCTCTCTATATATATTGATATAAAACTATGCATATACAGATACATAGATGTGTGTGGTGCAACCTATGCGGCGCAACGTCTTGGCGCAATCTGCATTGTGCAGTCTACGTTGGGCAGTTTTTGGTGTGCAAACTATGTTGCGCAATCGATGTCGTGCTATACACCTGGTGCAACCTATGTGGTGCAATACGAGGTAACATCTACATTTTGCAGTCCACCAATCAATGCTCAACTTGAAGATATCCACCCCACTGCTCGCGCAAACATCCCACCCACCCACCCGCAACATGGTTTGCAAACCCCATGCGGCGGCGATTGCGGTGAGTGCTTGGCGCTGGCTGTTTGACAGCCCGCGCATGCGCGCTCGCACCGGCCAGCTACTTTGGCGCGACCGAGCGGCGCTGACCGCTGGGCACATCCCAGCGGGCACTTCAGTGTGAGTCGGCGGTGTGGGCGGGCGCGGTATCATGGCAGCGTCGACAACGGTAGACACGGTAATGATAGTAGCGATGCTGGTGGCGATGCTGACGGCGACGACGGCACGGCCAGTCACGGTGCAGATGCTGATCGCGCCGACGACGATGACGGCGTCCTCGCGTCGGTGATGAAGGTTTTGGAAAGAGTTCGACATGCGCGCGCGGCCGACGCCCAAGAGTGGCCCGCATAGTATTATTTGACACGAATCGGGCCCCCCCACACGCGCGCAAGGGCGTTCGAATAATTTCGGCATGCGGCGCCAGAGGCCCGTTTGGCAGAAGCCCATGAACATGCTGGAAAACCATGGGTTCCTTTAGAAGTCGCAAGAGCGCGAGCCCACGCTTTTTTAAAAAACCGATGTTGCGGAACCATGTGTTGTTACATTTGTTTTGGACACTAGATTATGAAACCGCTACGAAACCGACGGATTTTGACGGACTTCGGCATGCGCGCGCGACGACGCGCGCGCGCGTGCGCTTCGTCCCATTGTTTGCACAGAATTCTCGCGACGGCACGCACGCAAGGGCTTTCGAATGAATTCGACATGCGCGCGCGAAACCTGTTTGTTAGCATATTACGAAAATGATTGACCACCAAAAATCCATGGTTGTCTTGAGAATTCGCAAGATCGCGCGCAAATTTGTTTTGAATTTCAGTGTTGCGAACCCCATGTGCTTTCATATGTTGTTTGGGTACTCGATCTTGGAATCCTTACGAAACCGACGGTGTTCGAAGGATTCCGGCATGCGCGCGCGACAACGCGCGCGTGTGCACTTCGTCTCGTTTTGTTGCCAGGGATTCTTGGCAACTTATGCATGTTGATAAACGAGTGTGTGCGCATAATGTTTTTTGCAAAGGGTGGCGGTGGAGGCCGATACCGGCCCCCCTGGGATGGTGAAAATTCATATTTAGGATGAACGACGGGTCGGGAAATCACATGCAAATTGCAATACGAGAAGGGGATGGGATAATCCGGGGGGGGGAGATTCTATTTTCTCTTTAGAACAGAGAATTGAGGCGGCGACGGGGCGGCAACGGCGACCACATGGCCGCAAGACCGACAATCAGGCCCAGACGACGGGCGGCGACGAGGCGGCGACAACGACAACATGGCCGCCAGACCGACAACTCCCCCCACACGACGGGAGGTGACGAGGCGGCGACGGCGACAGCATCGCCGTCAGACCGACAGACCCCCCACTTCCTTAGAACAGAAATGAGAAGCCCTAAGTGCAAGCACTTTTTGGAGTGAACCCCGCTTCAGCCACGCACGCAGGGATTGTGTAAGACCGTTCGGCCCCCTCACTCCGACTTGTTAGGGTTTCTGATTTCATGCGGCGGGGGCATGAGACGGGGGCGGGTGTTGCATCATTGGTGCATCCTGGATTCATTCCGGTCCGCCTCCCTCTCTTCCTCCTCCTCCTTCCCCACAGGATCCACCCCCAGACTTCTCTGGGAGAGCGTTCTGACCGAGATTTCGAGGCAAATCCAGGCACGGCGGCCCCCCAAGACGGCGGCACGAAGACAAGCAAACAACGTGCAGAGATGTTTATATAGGGAACGAAGAATGACATAAACAATACAAACTCGGAGGTCCGCGCGGATTTATCGGATCCGCGCTGGACCCCCTGGCGGCGCCTCCGGCGCCGCCCCTGGCGCGCTCCGCGCGCCAGGGAGGGGGGTCCAGCGCCGATCCGAGAAATCCGCGCGGACCTCCGAGTTTTTACGTTTATGCCATGCTTCGTCCCCGTCCCAGAGGCGCCAGAGGCGCCGCCGTGGGGTCCCAGCGCCGATCCGAGAAATCCGCGCGGACCTCCGATTCTTTTTGTTTATGCCACTTTTTGTTCCCCAAGAGACGAAGCTGTGAAGAGGCAGGAGGAATTGTGCGGAGGAGGACGCAGCGCCGATCTAAGAGATCCGCGCGGACACCCGAGCTTTCATGTTTACGTCGTTCTTTCTTCCCCTCTCTCTCTATATATGTACGTGTGTGAGAATATGAGCGCTGAGAGCTGGCGGGGCAGGGGGAGGTCTCGGGCTGCGCGGCCTCTCCGAGAGCGTCCCGGAGCGCTCCGGAGCGGCTGGTGCTCGGCCCGGGCCTGCCCGACCTCCTCGTTTCTCTCCCAGCGGCCGGCGACCCGCCCGTTGCGGCCCGATGCCAGCTGCGGGGGCACCCGTCGGTCGGAAGAGGTAAGTAGAAACATGAAGTGGGAAGGCGTTAAAAGGTGGGAGAGAAGGAGGTAGAGAAGAATGAGAAGCATGAAGTACATTGGGCTGCTGAAGTAAGGAACGCTAAATAAGGAACGAAGCCCCCCTGTGGCTTCAAAAAAGCCTGGGTGCACGAGAAGGGCATCAGGAACAACCACGGAAGGACGTAAGGAACATCGGGCCCCCTCCGAATCCAAACTGTTCCTTATTTCAGCGTCTTGGCTGTAGGAAGAAGGAGGTAGAAACACGAGGTAGGGGTTCCGTCCGCCCCCTTGGGAGGACGGGAAAAGGCGAAGCCACTCGATCGTTGAAGTAGGGAGGCGCTGAAAGTGGACTGGAGTCTGGGGCTCTAAAAGTACCTACTTTCAACGACCGATGGGTATACCTAGGATTGCTCACGTTGCCGCCCCTTGCCGCACTCGTGTGCTGCGTGGGTATGCCAGGGACTCGCCACGCTGCTGCCCGCTGCTGCACCTCCTGGGCCGTGCCCGTGCCGGACCTGCCATCAGAGACCTCCTAGATCCCAGATGGGGCCCGAGTAGATGGGGTCGGAGGCTCGCGCAGCATCGACAATGCATCACCGATGCATCGCCGATGCATCGACGATGCATCGACGATGCATCGGCGATGCGTCAGCGACGTTAGTGTGGAGAGGAGCGGGCTCTGCATCGGGCAGCATCGCCGATGGGTCGGCGATGCGGAGCGATCCTCCGACCCCATCTAGGGGAACAAAGAATAACATAGACATAACAACTCGGAGGTCCGCGCGGATTTCTCGGATCGGCGCTGGACTCCCTCCCTGGCGCGCGGAGCGCGCCAGGGGCGGCGCCAGAGGCGCCGCCAGGGGGGTCCAGCGCGGATCCGAGAAACCCGCGCGGACCTCCGAATTTGTATGTTTATGGTTTATGCCACTCTCCGTTCCCCTGCCATCTACCCCGACCCCATACAGGAGGCCCATAGACCGCAACGATCATCGAAGCCGCCCGTGGCCTCCGCCGCCGGCGGCTCCTCCGGCGGCGGCTCCTCCGCCGCCGGCGGCTCCGGCGCCTCCGCCGGCGCGGCCTTCTTCCGGCGCGGGGGGGCCATGGCCCCGACCCCGGGGGGAGGGGGCGGCGCCCGCGCGCCGCCCTTGGAGACCAGCGGCGGCGCCGCGTGGGCGGAGGCGCCCTCGATGTTGTCGTTGTCGTCGCCGCCGCCGCCATGGGAGGAGGAAGAGGAGGAGGAGGAGGAGGAGGAGGAGGAGGAGGAGGAGGACGAGCGAGGAGGAGGAGGAGGAGGAGGAGGAGGAGGAGGCCGAGGAGGAGAAGGGAGGGAGGAGGAGGAGGAGGAGGAGGAGGAGGAGGAGGAGGAGGAGGAGGAGGAGGAGGAGGAGGAGGAGGGGGAGGAGGAGGAGGAGGAGGAGGAGGAGGAGGAGGAGGAGGAGGAGGAGGAGGAGGAGGAGGAAGGGGAGCAGGGGTGAAAGTCCTGCAGTTGCTGCTCCTCCTCCTCCTCGCCCTCCTGCCTCCCACCTTCCGCTCGCGCCCCGCCCCCGGGACCCTCTTCTGCTCCTCCCGCCGCGCCTCCTCCCCCCTTCCCCGCCCCCCCCCGTCCCGTATGAGGCAACTACTGGGAGGTTTTCGGCGGAACGACTGAGGAGGATTAAGCCCCATTTGGGAGCAGTTACGCCGGAGTGGGCCTCGGATTAAGCGGATTAAGCTGGGTGAGCGGGATTAAGCGGGATCACGCGGGATCAAGCGGGATTAAGCCGGATTTCGGACCAGGGCAACATCAGAATTTGACCTCCCAGGAGTTGCATCCGAACGTCCCTTCGCCAGGGAAGGAGGAGGCCAGGAAGGAGGCAGCGGAGGTGCAAGGCTCGTGCTCAGCACGCGTGCCGCGTCCCTCGTCCCCCTGCTCTGGCAGCACAGCTCCCGCAGCCTGCGCGCGGACGCTCCCGATGCGTGCCGACGACTGACTGTGGGCGCCGCCAGGCAGGCCCCGCCGGGAGAGGACGGCAATGCACCACCGTGGGGAAGATGAGGTCAGCGTCATCGTGGCCACCGTTTCTGCTACGCTCGACATGGTTAGCAGCCGTGCTGGTAGCGTCTTTACACCTGTCTCTACGGGTCGACCCGAGAAAATCAATGTCCTGACACCGGCGGAACAGCGCATGGATGCTACGATGGAGGAGCGAGGAGGGGAGAGGGAGAGGGGGAGGATGCATGAGGGATGGGGGATGAGAGATGATGAGAAGGGGGTAAAAGGGGGGGGGGAAGGCGGGAGATGAGACGGGGTGAGAGAGGGGCCTCACTGCTCCCCAGTCACGTGGACGGCACAGGCTACGCTCTTGAATCGGCTCCCGTTGTCATTGTCGGACTTCATGAAACGCTCCGTGAAGACCACGTAGACGAGATTCTTGGAGGTCTCGTCATAGACGCGCCTGACCTTGAGCTTCTTGCCGATGCCTTTGTCTTCGCTGAAGATCTCCTCGCCCGCCTTGTCCTTGACCAGGTCCCTGGAGATGAGAACGGGGCCGTCGGCGATGCACGCCAGGCCCGAGGCCCCCGAATCGGACTGCAGGAGGTTGCCCGCCATGGCCTTGTCCAGGGCCGACTTGGAGAAGTCCGTCTGGTAGATCGTGACGCCCTTGACCTCGGAGGCAGCTCGCTCGCCGGCCCGGGCCAACTCGCGACCCGACCCCGACCTGACCGGGCGGGCCCGCTCCCCCCCGACGCGGGGGGAGGAACAGAACGGCAAGCATGAGGCGGAAGGGGGGGGATGAGGAACGAGGAGGAGGAGGAGAAGGAGGAAGAAGAAGAAGAAGAAGGAGCGGAGGCGGAAGAAGAAAGAGCGGAAGAGAAGGAGGAGGATAAGGAGGAGGAGGAGGAGGAGGAGGAGGAGGAACGGGGGGGAACGAGGAAGAGGAGGAGGGAGAAGAAGGAGCTGAGGAGAAGGAGGAGGAGGAGGAGGAGGAGGAGGAGTGCTGGGAGAGCGACCATCCCTGCTCGCCTCGACCACGCGGCGGCTGCCATGCGACTCGAAAGGCCGCCAGGCGAGCCAAGGCGACGACGCACGCAGAGCGAGCCGCAATACGCAGGCCCATGCAACACACCGAGGCCCGTGAGAAAGCGAGTGGGCCGCAAGCAAAGCTCACCCCCCCAAGGCCCGGAATTGCCAACGATGCCGCCCAGGGGACGCGGGCGGAGCGCAAAAGGGCGAGGAGGGGGAAAGGAGCACGCGCCCCTAACTCTGAGAAGGGGAACGGGGGGGGGGGGGCAGGGGTGAGAAGGAGGAGTGCCCTCGATCGGCTGCCTGATTCAAATAGGGGGATCCACTACAGCACGGATCTACCGCAGAATTGACTGTCTGTCGAATCTCCGTGACAAATTCATACGCCCTTCGTAGATCTGCGGAGTATTCTACGCATTCTGCGCAGATCCGATGAACAAGTCAATGTTGGGGTAAATCAGTTCTGCAGTCGATCTCTTACTCGACTGATCGAGCACTGATGGACGGGCCAGGGCCTTCTCAGCCATAGGCCTTAGGATCGGTGATCCGCTCCACGTCCAGGGTGTCCTTGAAGATCATCCCGGAGGCTTGGAACTCCCCTGTGGGGGGGGGGGGCAATACAAGAGGAGGGAAGGTGAGGAAGAGCCAGAGGAATCAGAGGAGCGACAGGAGGAGCATGATGGGGTGGCATCCTCCTCATCCCTCCTCCATTCGCCCTCCTCCTCCGACCAATTCTCCGTTCAATCGGCTGTCCATCGCGTGACGGTCGATAGCCGATCGATCCAAGAGCCGGCTAAGCCGACCGTTCCGAGGGCGAGCCAGAGTCGGGGCAGAACGAGGCCAGGAGGTGCGGCGGCAGGGCGGGGGGAGAGGAGGCCGAGGCGATCGAGACCGAGCCGATGGAGTGCTGAAGCGCGGGTGGCCTGGCCTATGATCTCGCCTGACTTGCCCATGCCGAAGAAGGCCTGCGAGGGCGACGCCCCCGCGCAGATGCCGACGAGCAGGGCGGCGGCCGCCGCCAGGGCGCCCGCGATGGCGCTGGGCCCCCGCGGCTCCCCTGCGTGGCAGCAGAGGCACGCAGGCACGATTTGTCCCTCTGACGCGGGGCCGGATCCAAAGCCACAGCTGGACGGTCTCCCCGGGGGCCGTAGGCGACCCGAGGAGGGGAGGGCGAGGAGGGGGAGGAGAGGAGGAGGAGGAGGAGGAGGAGGAGGAGGAGGAGGAGGAGGAGGAGGAGGAGGAGGAGGAGGAGGCGGAGGAGGAGGAGGAGGGGGAGGAGGAGGAGGAGGAGGAGGAGGGGGAGGAGAGCGCGGGCTCAGGTCGCCCCACCAGGAGGTCGCGAGCCGGCGCCAGGCGTCCT